TGACCAATATGACCAGTATGGCAGCCCCAAGGAGATCTTAAATTGATGAAAGAATATCATAATCAGATTGTCTGACCCCCAAAACCCCATAAATATATAAACTATTATCATACAACCGCTTTTCCGAACTACGCTTGACCTTTAACTCAGATGGCGGCCATTTTGAATTTGCCTAATATGGCATACCCAGAGGGTACCCTTCTTGGCGTCCGGAAGAAATCGTAAAAGTATGGTATAATCTACCTCTGGGGCAAATTTGGTGCTTTTAGAAGAATCTGCACCAAACAACCCCTATTTAGCCCTAACAGCCTCCACTATATTGACTATGTATATGTGTGGACTAGAGTACGGACATTCGGTGCGGCAGGCGGACTATTGGTGCGAGACCTCTTCCGCATGGATTGTCCGTCAGACATTTGAGGCGCACACGGAATGTCCGACACGGACATTCTGCGCGGATAAAATCCGCACCGATCGTCCGCTCTCGATCGATCTCTAATAGTCGGACGATCGGTGCGGGTTACATTCTACGCGGTCACACCGGCCATACGTAAATGGCAGTGACGGTAACGACGAATTAGGAGGAAGGGGTGCATACGTGAACTACAAGCGTATTGGGGATGATCATACTATCATTTTAGAGTGTGCAATCTGGGTCAGAATCCAGCATAATATATTTATAAAAAAAGAGGTTCACATAAAAGCACTCATGATAAAGCCGCGCCCGGCCCCTACAACATCATTTTGGATTTTCAGATGATGGGGCGGGTGGCAGGGGTAGGGGGCAAAGTTCGCCCCACTCTTCAAGTACCCCCCCCTAAAAGGGCCACTTTTACTTTGTAAAGAAGTGCCCCTTCCCCTTTTTAACTCGGATAAGCGCACATTTCATCAACACATGTGCCCCCTTTCCTATCTGATAAGGGCTATTTAGAAAAATGAGGCCCTTCATAAATAAAAAGTGTCCCTTTTCATCTCTGGTAAATGACCATTTTCATATATATGAAGTTAATTCGTTTCACTTCAGTGCGCTCTTCACCTCCGATAATTGCCCCTATTCGAATCTGAGAGATGCTCATTTTACCTTGAAAAGTACCCCTTCCCCTCCTGATAAGTACTCTTTTCATCTATGATGGGTGCCCATTTTCACCTTTGCTAACTGCCCTTTAATTTTGAATCGTGCCCCTTTTCCTTTCTATATAGGGACCTATCCCCTTTTCATAAATGCCCCTTTTCACCTCTGATAAATCAATTTCTGATGGATGCCTCTTTTCCGTCGACAAATGCCCATTTCCCATACTCATAAGTGCCCTATCTCATTTCTGGTGAGTGCCTCCTTTCAGGTGTAAGAAGTGCCCAGTTTGAACCTTTGATATTTACTCTTTGTACCTTGACACATGCTCCTTTTCTTTTCTAATAAGTGTCTTTATCCCTTTCGATATGTGTCCCCTTAACCTCTCATCATCGGGGGGGGGGGGGGCACGTGCCCCCATAACCTGCTCATCATTAGTCTTGCACCAAATTTAAAGCGACTAAGAGTAATTTCCCCTAAAGCTCGCTCGCTCGCTCGCATTTATAGATGATACAATTATAATTATGTCACTTTAAAACAAATGTTTTTTTAGTCTTCCGTGATGCTTATAACCCCATCATGATTCCCCCCCCTCTTTATAAGATGTAATTTTTTACTCTACGACCTCACAGATCTTACATTTTTTCTCGCTCGCTTTGCTCGCTCGCAAATGAATATTCAGACAATCACACTTAGCCGAAAGTGTGATGCTTAAGCAATAACTTGTATGATATATAAAGAAAAACAAATATTGAAATCGTCCCTGATAATGGGATCACAATGAAAGGGTATATACCAATGTCTAAAAAAATGTATATTTTCGCTTTGAGATTTCGCTTTGTAGGTGCCCTTTTTTGTTGGTGCTTTCCACTTTGGAAATAGCTCCTCCGCCCCTGCTTACGCATTAGCGCCAGCGTTAATTTCACGCTGGCGCGCACAGGGTGTGTGTGTGTGTGTGGGGGGGGGTTCCTCTCTAGCTCTGAAGCTGATTTTTTTTTTATACCTAGATTCGTGCGATTCGGTTAATACTTTTAGAGGGAGTCTGATGGGTGATGTGCCCCCTCTGAAGCTGACATTTTTTTGGATTTTTGAAACTGGATTCGTGCGTTTTGGTTAACAATTTTTTGGGGAGTCTGATTTGATTTCAAAACACCTGCAGTTAATGCGTGATGGTGTTGCAGCCTCTCTTTCCCCGAAAATTTAAAAATTACCAATATGCATTTGTTATATCTTATCTCGTATATTTTGGTGACAATTAACACTTTTCACAACATACATAAGCTCAAATTTCCGCTCACTCGCTTCGCTCACTCGCCAAATTATTAAACCAGGAAATAGATATTAGGGCAAGAGGCTTCAGCCCCCACTGATGGAAATGTCAAAAAAAAATTGCGCGCGAGCATAACTTGAAAACGGGGAATGTTGATATCGGACAAGAGATGTGACGTGAGCATGTCCCCTTTCCAAAATAATTGTGCCCGTTTGTAGGTACCAATACACTATTAAAGTACAGTGCTTCTAATATGACCTTGTCAGTATTGGTAAGTTTATATAACGGTCTGCGCGAATTTCGAATTTCCGGTCCCCCCCCCCCCCCTATTGGAAAATCCTGGATCCGCGCCTGACAAGGGAATGTAAAATTGATGATGAGATAAAGCGTTAATGTGATCTGCAAAATGTATATACATGAACATCTTGGATCTATAAAAAAAAACATAATTGGGAATCAAGTCATTATTTTGTAACCAAAGTGCTTCGTGCAGCAAAGACTCCTGCAGTTTGGCGTACATTTTTCGTTTGGCCCCATAACTTACTTGAGGTAGTACACTGTGTAACACATTTCCAATAATTATGAAAACTAAGCTGAGTCAGTTTAAAGTGTCTCAGTGGTTGTTGTTGTTGTTGTTGTTGCTTTTGATTAAACGCCGTATATCTCATCAAAAGCCAAGGCTGGTCAAGCCAAATATCATCATCAACAACAACAACAACAACAAAAGCAACAGCACATACAACAACAATGACGTATACGCAACATGGTGGGGCAAAACGTAGAAAAAATTGTATCGTGTTTTTCCCGTTACACAAGTGGCGTCATTTTGCTGTGGCAGGACGACTGATATGGTCTTTCCAGCGCCTTGTGAGAGTTACATTTAAGAATAAATAAATGATTGCAAAAATGCATAGTGCAAACATTGCGTTGAGGTGTTGGAGCTTCTTTACCTTACATGTAATAAAGGGCAGGTATAAACACGCCATCAAAATGACGCCTCGTCTGAAACTGACATTTATTAAGATAACCTTTGCAGGAGGACCGGAGGGACGCAAAGCTGATGCGTTTATCCTGCAACGAGTTAAGTGCCCTGTCCCACCAATATTGATACGTAGGTTTATCGATATTCTCTACAACTGCCCGTTTTTCAATTTCAAGAGTATTATTGATCGTTAAAAAAAAAACATAACGTGATATTGCAAACAACAGCAAGCACGGATTTCGAGGCCATCTAAACAAAAATATGATAAGAATAATACTGAAAAGCATGATGTATTCTATCATAAGAATGGAACGAATGAATCCTCCATGCTTTTCTATAATATGTGTACCTCACAGGTCGTGGTGCCTGGGAGCCTTTCACCGTTTTGAACCACAAAGCTGATGCGTTTATGTTGTAAAATACAAAATGTCAAGTGAATTGAGGATTATTCTATTGAAATGCTGGAACGATGCCTGCGGAAAAAGTCACAAAATTGATAAGCATAAACTACAAAGTCGGTGTGAATTGTAAACATGGAATAATCGCAAACGAGCGGGTTTTCTCTCTCTTAAGCTAACTTTTTAATTGGTTTTCATAATATTGTCAGATTTCCTGACAATATTCCTCAAAATGTGATGGAATGTCATGTAAGGATTTCTATAAAGTCAAATTGGCCAATGTTAAAAACATTCAGTCAACTACCACACCTAGCAAACAAATAATCCGATTATTATTTTCATTTGATAGATCTATTGAAAGGAGTGAGTGAAAAGGCAGATTTTACGAAATATCAAAGTCTTAAAATTCCTGAGAACGTGATGTGCTGACGGCGTCATATTTTGGGGCACAAATGATTGCACTATCGTTTGCAAATAGATGCATCTTTAACCCCAAATACTAACTGGGGCATCTTTTTTTAACAGTAGAAGTACCAACCTACATCAAAGATGGCCTGCTCGATCTGTGTATCAAAGAGAGGAAGAAAGAATGAGAATGAAGAGAGATCTAGAGATAGGGAGAGACAGATAGCCATACAGAAAGACCAAAACGGAGATAGAGAGAGAAACAGAGAGAGGTTGAGAAAGGGAGAGAGAGTGATAGAGAGATATTAAAAGAGGGAGAAGACAGAGAGACAGAAAGACAAAGACAGAGACTGAGAGAGGAAGAGAGACAGAGAGATAAAGAGAGAGAGAGACAGAGAGAGAGAGAGAGAGAGAGAGAAAGAGAGAGAGGTTTGACCCTCGAGGAACCACCAGTAAATGTCTCCTTGTTTAAACATCGCAAGTCTCACAAATAGTTGGGTCCACGCTTCGCCACTGAAAAGTGATATCTAATTTATTTTCTTAACTTTGTAGATGTGAAAACTTTTGGCTATCTCGAAGTTTGAATCGAAAAAGAGATCAATTCTATTAAGACTTTTAAGTGTTCTGGCAAAGTTTGAACGACAAAAAGAAAAGCTTGTTACCATTACATAATGGTATGTTCTTAGAATGTCATCGCTTCTTATTTGAGTTTGTATTTATCATTTTAATGACGGTGACCGGTATCGTTGTGTTATGTGTCTCTCAGCATATTTGGCTTGATTCAAGCACAATTTAACCACCATGACTTTCACTTCTAGATATTGAATAGCCTTGTTCCTTCAATTCTTCAGATCAAGTCTGCTTACAACTATGATAGCAACACTCACTACAATGTCTTGCCGTGGTATGTTGGTATGTGTCGTTGGTTTCGTCGTGCTCCTAGCTGGACTACCACTCGGCAATGCCCAACTCCCCATCCCGAACAGCGCGAACTACATCGGCGTCGGGTACAACTTCATCATGGGCAACCCGGAGGGTGACTCGCTGAACTCTGGCGGAGTCGATCCTGGACTTCTGGCCTCCAGGAACATCTTCGAGCTCACCTATGACCTGGGAAAGAAGTCGAAAGACAACAAATACCGTGTGCCGGATGAGACGGAGTTCCTGCAACGAAGCAGCGCTTTTACCACAAAGGAGAAATCGACGTTCCACGGAACGAAAAGCTATGCCAAGACTCTCTCATCAAAAGTACAAGAATCTGGTGAGCTCATTTAAAAAGAAAAGTTATAACATCAGTCATTTCTGTTCATCAATGGTTTGGTGTCATACACTTTTATAACACGGTCCCTTTTCCGTCTTCTTGAATCCATACGTTGCCAATCGTCTGGAGAGCCAAATAAGACAAGTTTTCCGATAATTCGTAATTTGCCAACTAATATTCAGGTTTATTTTACTCAATATGTTTGAAGGTATTTGAACTGTTTCTCACAAGGAAACTATCATCAATTTCAATTTTCTAAATCAATGTATCAATAAGTAGATTTATAAATGTAAAAATGTCCAAGAGCCATGAGGGGGTTAATATTGAAGACAGCCTTTCAATCAACTAAATGGTATGCTTTCCCTTTTTATTCTTAATTTGTTACCTCGCAGCTTCCTTGGATGCTGTCTTTGCTTCGGTCAAGTTTGCTGGCAGTCACGGTAAGAAACACCATCTCGTTCATGACTTCATTAATGACGAATTTGAAAAATTAATTGGAGATAAACATTTGATCATAAAGAAGTTTACAGAAGTTTGAAGATGTTAATGGGTGCCGCACTGCGTGCCGATGTTCCAGGTCCCCTTTTCAGAATTTTATTGGAGATGGATAAACATTTGATCATAAAGAAGTTGACAGAAGTTTAACAATGTCAATGGGTGCCGCATTACGTGCCGCTGCTCCAAGTCCCATTGTCAATCAATCAATCTCTAGCCCTAAATAACACTTAACCCAGCTTAGCATGATCCCGGATCACACTTCATTAATTCTAATGATTTTAATCTGGAGAATGGTAGCGCTTACAGTGATGTTTTAGAGGTATTTTATCATAATATCCCACTCACATCGCCAAAACGACTTCAAACCGACCAATTCTTATATATTCGACGTAACGTAAATTTTGCTCGGTCTGCTGTTGGTCTGCTCTTGGCTACTTCGCTGGAACTGGGTTATCAAGACCAAACCACTCAGTGATAGCGAAACAACATTGATAGGTTCATATGCTACCAAGAGATTCTTTTCGTAATGTAATCAAATTTAATGTACACATCTCTGTTAAGTGCCTCGTTACAAAATTATTTTATTCACCTGTTACGAATAATTGTATTTCAATAGTCAGAATGCGAATTGCATACATTAATTATTTCAATATTGGGAAGGGTGCACACCAAGGTAGGCGGAATGAGCATGTCTTTCATATTTCTTCTGTATTATTATTTTTTTAATTTGATACAGATTATAAGCAAATTTCGGAGGACGAAAAGAAAGAGGGTTACGTGTACTTCACTGAGCAGACGATACAGAACCTGGGCACAATCCGATACTTGGATGAACTGGCTCGGGCTGATCAGTTTGAAATTACCCGCAATTTCTATGCTGACGTCTGCGGACTACCTGTCACGTATGAATCCCAGAAGAAGAACTATATGGACTTTATTGATAAATGGGGAACGGTAAGTGAGTAAAGAGTACGATAAAACAAAATATGCATTACATCATGATTCCATTGGTAAAATGTATTTCAAAAGAAGCAATTTCGGCACTAGGACTTAACAAAACGAGAATTGGAACAGCACAAGCTATAAGGCCAAGGAAAATGTTAGAGTGGAAAAGTAAAAACTCAAGCCTATATCTACTTTTAAACAGAAGATGACTGGGGTGCAAATGCCTCTATTACCCCCTCCTCCCACCCCCATTCACTATGTATGCTATGCCGTCGTAGTTTACGGTTGCGAAACATCGTAGTTATAAACAACGATCCACTGACCAATACGAGACCAGTAAAAACTGGCCTAACCCCGTAACATTACCTCGAATTAGAATCATCCCCCCCCCCCAGCCCCCTCCCCGCGCTATGTCATGGTTTGTAACTTCTAGTTAACTTAAAGTTTCGTATTAATCACGAGTGCTTTTTTACAAATAAAAAAAATGCAACGAATTATTTCGTACAAGTTACACATATACTATATACATATATATTTCTTATAAAAACACAGCACGTTGTGACGGAGCTACAGACGGGGGTTCGTTCTGGTACAACCTATCGTGCAACCCGATCCTCATTCGTCAAACTGGCATCAGAACAGGTAGATAATTTGTATTATAGTCTTACACCTTGCAGCTTCCTTGGATCTATCTATTGTCTTATACGGTCTCCATATTAATTTTTGCTGAAATGAAATACGAAACAAACATATTACTGCATGCTCCAACAAGACATGCTTCAAGATTTAAGGGTTACACAAGAATATGATTGCATCCTTATTATGGATTTTGATCACCGAAGGATACCGTAGACGTATTTTTGAAGGATGGCGATTTTAGTGTACCATAACGTAATCTTTGAATTTTTATCAGCTCTTGGAATGCAAGATAGATGATAATTAAAGTGTTTCAATCATACATTCCAAAACTTATCGTGCTCGTATGTTTCTGTTCTATTAGTTAAAACATAATTTTCACATTTAATGTACAGAAAAGTTTATACAAAATATCCATTGAACACTTTAATTAAAAATTATTTTAAAAAGAAATGTGGCACGCACGAACAAAAAAGAATATCAATTAGGCGGAATTATTTTATCTATCTGCAAGAAATTTAATAGTGGACTTGAAGTACATTAAATCATTGATAATTTAACAAGAAACATAAATCAAAAGAATTAGGGAAAGGTTCAACAAAATTTAATTTCCCAATATTGACAAATTAAAAAATAAAGGCATCAGAGTTTCGTCAGTGAAAGCAAAACTGTTGCATGATTGATCGACGACTCGTTTTCACTTCCTCCCTGAATAGAGATCGGATAGCTTGAGTTTAGAAGGACACTACAAAATCGCCTCTGCATCGATATCCGTGAACATGGATAAATTCACTGAGGACAAGTCTGCAGAGAAGAAGTTTGGGAGCCAATATACAACTTACAAAGTGGGCAGTGAGACTTTGCACGGTCAGTGGTAGACAATAATTGATTCAATGAGGGCGGCAGTAAGATTTGTCCAATGTCCGAAGATGTAGATGTATATGAAAATGTGATGTGATATTTGTATTACATATATTTATATATAACAAGTGGTGACGGGGATCAATGACGTTTGATTCAGAACCCTCATCCCACATTGATGTGGACTTGACTTGACTTTCCAAGTTGTAGTCTTTTGATTAACTGGCCAGGTATAAAACATTGCTAATGAACGGCCACGTGTTAGGACAAACAGATGCTCTTAACCAACCATTTGATTAGGATCCATCATCATTTTCATAGTAGTTACTAAAGACTCGAAACTATTGCCGTTTCACATACAGTATACGCAATCGCTAGTTTTGTGTATTAGGCCCATTGTCGGTGTTGTTTATGACCAATGGGCAAAATCTGTAAAAACTCTGACGCCTTTCTTGTGGTCCCCAAGAGGTACCTGATCAACGCATGTCTGTGAAAGCATATGGTAAATGACCCCCCCCCCCCCCACACACACACACACACACACGCACACACACACACACACACACACACACTCATGCACACACACGCGCGTGGGCTGTCGTATGTATGATTAATATTTTATTTATGATATTTTCTAGAGCCCATCAGCCTCAAACTGCTCGGACTTAACGAATTACTGGCGGATGACAAGTACTGGACCACACAGGCATCTCATGAAGGAACGCTGTGTCCCGTAGGATGGGAAAGGCCACTTATTGCCGCAAACATCTTAAAGGCTTACAAAGGATACATCGAATATAAGAACATCGCTGCGAGCACAGGTAAAGACACCGTGGACTTGTCCGTCCATGGGCTACTGGCTTGAGCAAAATCACTTTAACTGTCAAACTCCACTCTTCAATATTGACTCTAACGCCTATCACAATTTTCCCTATACAGGAAAACAAAATTCATTTTTTGACAAATATGTTTGTTGGAAAACGTTGTGAATATTACATCCACAAATTCAAAGTGTTAAATTGCTCAATATTAAATGTATGATGGCTGTTTTTCTTCTTTGTATTTAACCACACTGCAAAAACGACCGATTAAGTCAACAATTTCTTACACATTCAAAGTACCATTGAACCTGCGCTTTTAAGGAGCCTATTAGTATACTTAGATTAGTTAGTGCAAGGTACTTTTGTAATATCAGATTTATCCTGCTTCATCGAATAGGAGTATGTTTTTAAACAAATCAGGCGGGTGCTATACGTACGTTTAAATAAATCAAGTAAATGCCATTGGTCTACATGCATTACATGTTAAATGTCAATCGACTTACTATACAGTAAGAACATCGAAAACGGATGTAATGATGTGACTAATATGAGACTGTCCAATCTTACTGGCCACATTTTCCAGATCTGGAGGTTCGTATTCCTCTAACGTGGCCAGATGGGCAGTACGCCCTGGCCAAGCCGGCCAGGAATGGGGGAACGTGCCCTAACACTGATTACCTGACGTGGGATGAAGGCAACAGGCTGGAGATCACACAACCTTTAGGTGCGAATTGGTGGTCGAAAGATACCCAGCATTTGAGTGACAATATCTTCATGGAGTCGGCCCAGGTATACTACTGCGTCAAGAGTGTGGCACAGTCGTCGACGACATCGTGGAAATGGATGCCAGGGAGCTATTGCATCTATCAGTTTGGCAACACATGCCCGAACGGTAAGATATAGGAACGGTTTACAGCAATAAATGTTATATGCCGTAGTACCACCACCTGCATTATGTACTAATCGGTGTAGTTTAGAGAGACATAATTAATATGTTTAAAATATATTTGAATAAAAGTCCCTTTACACGCCATAATGATTGCTGTCAAGTTATGAAATCGCTGAAACAATGATTGAGTGTATGGTGTATCTTCCCGATACAACCTTGGATACCAACGTCATTTCTTCTCTTCAAACGCTGTTATTAGTTAGGGATGAAAGTCCAAATAAGTCAAAAAAATGATATTATTTGTTCATCTCCTACGTGTTATGATACTCTAGGTTTTGATAGCGGATACCTCAAATATGATGACGATGACACGTCAAGCAACCAAGCTAATGGTATTTTGCCAGCAGGGGAGTATACGAGCGAGTACACTTTGATTCGCTTTTGTTGCCGGAATGACGCCTCCCCTATGCATCCCATCTTCCTTCCTACCGACTCGAGCTTTTTCCTCGTTAGATACTTTGATAATTGTCAGAAGGTAAGTCTCAAGATGTAGAAATGTGAATGGGGGGGGGGGGGGACATGTGGGCCGCCTAATCGAACGTTACCATTATCTTCACTTAATAAGGGTATTATTTTTTGGTGACATGATCCACTGATTCGCTCGGGGGGGGGGGCAGAGGAGGTGTTTCTGATGCAATCCGCAGTCTCATACTTTGAGGAAAACAGACCCAACGATAGGGAGCCGTGTCATATACCACACCATAAAGAAGATGCTCCGCCCCATCCCATAATCCCTTTATAAACAACCTTGTTAATTGAAACCGATGCGCCCCCCCCCCCCCATGATGCCGGTGTCCCCTTGATATGGATGAAATTATCTATATTAAAAAAAACCTCCTTGAAATGCCAAAGAAAAGATGACATATTGATTTATGTTAGAAAGAGCCCCCATCAATGACGTAACTGATATTAAACCAACCAAATTTGTTTGTTTTGATGTTGGTGTTTTTCTTAATTTTTCATTCCTCGAATAATACATAAAATTCACGCTTTTATCGCAATATACATGTAGGGAATTATCTGCTTTCCCTACATTTTGGAACAATTATAAGTGTAATAATATTGCACGGAACAATATTGCATTGAAACCCTAATCTTGCCAAAAATGGGAAGATCCTCTGCTTAAAATCTAAATTGGGGAGTTTAATATTTGTTACACTTTCACAGTCCAGATCGAGTGCGGCGTATTAGCGATCAAGTTTATATTATCTCTTTTGTCTTGTGCAGGTAAGCGGGATGACTGATACGGAAGAGTTCTTTGAACTCGACACCATGCATGCCGGGCTGAATGTCGACAACGATGACGCGGAGTACGGAGCGTTTCCTCAACCTGGCGTCGTTCAACACACACGAGTCAAGATCTTCTTCTGCTACTACCAGCCACAAACCAAGGCAAAGCGAGTAGATGATGCTATTGAACGCATTAAGGAGGAGTTGGCGAAAAAGTTCCTCGACTTGCTCGAAAGGGACCGAGATGGGATGTCCATGGGCGATAAGTAGAGAATGGCATATGAAAGCGAAGGCGTAGAAGATAACTAGAATGGCTTATGAAGGAGAAGGCGTGGTGGATCATGTAAGGGTTTGGGAAGAGTAGAAGGCATAATAATATTACATAACTGTATATTGGCGCTTAGATACGAGAGGGGGGGGGGGGGGGGAGAGAGAAGAAAGACATGACAAATATTGAGCTTTCACCGTTTATGACATACAATTACCAAATCAATTACAACATTTTCACTGTTCTTTATGATTTAAGACTATCATGATCGAAACAGATATGTTTTTAAGTTGGATTTAAACTGATGTAGTGAAGGACAACATTTAAGAGACTCTGGGAGATTGTTACATAGTTTTGGTATAGCATACTGAAAATAATATGTTGTTCTTCTGCCCATACCGACCCTCAAATCATAATGACACCTGCAGCCACTCCTATTCGGAACAAGAAGCAGGATCAAATAATAAGTTATTAAATAATAAGCATCATGCAACTACACATGTAATTGCATGACAAAATACAACTCATTTTATAAAACTTGATAAAGACATCGATTCTGTTATATAAATCCTAATCCCTTATCCCTAACCCTGCATTCAATAATAAAAACATATGAACTAATTCCTTATCATGGATTTACTGTGATAACTATTACTGGTGTTGGGTTAATGACTGTTGTGCGGTCTTTGATTGGTTGATATACGATTTATACTGGAAACTTTTAAAACCATTACATAATTATATACTCCCATCGTGAAAATCTATATGTACTAATTGTTCTCTAGTTTAAATCTTTATGGTGGTAATGGAACTGATACTATTTCGCTTGCGGTAGGCATAATTAATCTCTTTGTATCTTTAGAAGTTATGTATTCGGTAATTACAAAAGTCTTTGTTATAAATTGAATCTAGGATGTTAGCGTTGATTCGAGAAAGATAGAAAAAAACTAATTGTATGCGTTGTAATATTACGGGTGTACGGTTTTTTTGTATAAATACTTTTGCACCATATAACGGATTTTTCATGAAGAAATCTAAAATTAGTTTTGTCTTGAATTATAGAAATTAACAAAACAGGCAGTGTGCCTGAAATAATGACTTGCTTCTGATATAATAATGTGCGAATTTGGTTGCAGGCTCGTATAATAAACTCATAATGCTTGGAACCTGTTTGCTTGCTTATGTAGTTTATTTTGTATTCAAAATGATGTAACGTATCACTATAGTGGGAACCAACGATGCTGGGTGATGAAATTTGTAATTGGGAAGAAGTGAAGGAGTTGGAGAACAGGGAGAGAAGGAGAGAGAGAGAGAGAGAGAGAGAGAGAGAGAGAAAGAGAGAGCGAAAGAAAGAGAAAGAGAGAGAGAGAGGTGGAGATAGAGAGAGAGAGGGGGGGGGGGAATGATGTAGAGAGAGAAAGAAAGAGAGAGAGAGGTAACAACAACAGAGATGAGCGAGCGAGAGAGATGAGATACAGAGATAGTTTGATTTGATTTTTAAAATTCTATTTATTTGTCTAGTTAAATGAAACATAAATACAAAGAGTACAATGATACTATAAAATGAAAACATAGTAATAACAATTGTAGCTTGACAGAATAACCCATAAAAAAACTGAAAAGCTTATTTACAATGAATTGTTACGTTACTCTCTTTACAACGCTTTTCATTTTATAAACTGAGATAATACTACACATTGAATAACGGGACCTTATACCTCAGTCATATCGCCAATCCGCCAGTTGATGATAGATGAAATCTTTTCCATTCAAGATAGTTTTCTTCTCCTCCTGCTCCTCCTGCTCCTCCTTCTTCTTCTTCTTCTTCTACCACTACTACCACTACTACCACTACTACCACTCCTACCACTACTACTTAAACTACTACTACTACTCCTTCTTCTTCTTTTTCTTCTTGTTCTCCTTCCTCTTGTCGCTGTCCCTTTCCTCCTTCTTCTCCTCCTTCTTCTTCTTCTTCTTCTTCTTCTTCTTCTTCTTCTTCTTCTTCTTCTTAGCCATCTTCTTCCCCTTCCTTGTTTAAAAATAAAAATTACTATCTTTCTGTTTTGTGCGTGCTCTTGTGTCTGCCTCGTCGTTTAGCTGGGATTAGAGCCTGTTCGTGTTTGAGACTGGGAGAAAAGGCACAAGCACAAGAAGCCTCCTCGTTGGGGTGTAACTCTGTCATCGTGCAAATCCTTTCTTTGTTTTAATAAGAATCTAAATACTAAGTAAAAGGCCTAATAAATTTGACAAACTCACACAAGTTTCCTGTCACCTTTCCTACCTGTATGTTAGTCATAAACACCCCACACAGGATATTCCATTCAATCTCCCATTTTGTCTACAGCTACAGGTATAACCTCGAAAGCTACCTAAATTTCTTAACTTAATGTTTTGTTTTTTGTGTGTAAATAGATAATTTCGCTCGGAAATTTCATTCTAGGGCCCTCGAGAGACAACAGAGAAAGTCAGACATCCATCTGCGATGTCGTTAAGTCGAATTAGTGATGGGAAGAAGAAAGTAGCTCTTTCGGGAACAAAACTATAATGATGTCACATATCATTAACCAATTATCGATGTGCATGATATTGCGTAATACTGTTCTGCTGACATGGTTATAAGCTGCCTGTCATCATAGCTACAGCCAGGGTGAAAGACAGACGGTCTCGTGGGCTTTCTTAATAAGTTATCTAAGGGTTGGCCGGGCTTATGACATTTTTGCTGAGGGTACATGAGGGTACATGAGACCGACATTGTTGATCAAGTGGGATGTCGATCTTGTGGTCTGTCGGCCTACTATACAGTATGTTTCCTATTATTCGTTTAATTTCTACAACGCAACGTAAACAAAGAGAAAAAAAACGTCCCATGATGTAAGACATTTCCTGTCACCAGTTTTTAAATTATATTAAGGCTGTATATATATGAAAACTGTAATAACTCACGATCCTGAATAGCCAGCTAGTTTAGAGTACATTATGGAATAACTTATACCATTCTTACATGCATATCCCTCCCATTTACGAGTATTTAATCGAAAATAAAGAACAATACGAAAATGCTTCAATCTTAGATGCTGGCACACTGTGTCTGGGTAATGTCTCACTCGTTGATGTTGTACATTGATCATGTTGATCCAGGGGCAACCGAAATACACCTTGTAAAATGACAAGGTTTTGCTCTTGGAATTTTGGTTCAATGCTGTTCAATAAACCCAGCAGAGTTGAATGAACACAGTAATACCACAACAGTTTTACGACAGCAAAATCAGCTTTTATTGATGTAATCATTCACAATACATTTTTATATTGCCCGAGGCTATAAAAGACATACATATTTGACAGTTCACGCAATTCAATTTCAGATTTCGTGTTTTTTTATAATAATTCTAATTAAAATAAAGGGCATGTGTTTAAAGGTTTTGTTTTCTTTAATAAAATCATCTTTATTCAATATTGCTTCCGACTTTACAAAACATTAAAAAAACATATATGAATATACATACATAACATAACCAATATAATCAACAACAAGAGTATAGCTGATTATACAAGATAATTTTTTTATTTTTTAAAGCAACACAATGTTTTTCCACCTATTATCAAATGATACAAATTTGTTATTTTTAACATAAATGTATTGTTCAAGAGAACGATAATAAATTAACATACATTTAAAAGAATTTAGTGAGAGTGCGCTATTTTTGCATTTGTTGGAAAATATAGAGTATTTGGCATGTAAAAGGTGTTTCAAGGGTTGTTTCAAGATCACGGTCTAACCCAAAGTCAATCATTTGTATTGGAAACCTTTACTTTGTCAGTTTTCAATTTTAGTTGCCTTCAGGTACAAAGAGCAGGGAATCCGTACTTCAAAACTGCCAACAACAAAACAATCTACTTTTTCTATGCAAGCCTGTAAACTCCTCAATCTCAAAAATAGAATCAGAACAACTTTTGTCATTGATGTACTCACAAAGTTAGACGTTCAAGTCAGATAAAAGAGTCTGGATTATTTTGCCAAATGCAATTATCTAGGCAGATGCAAATGAATTATAGCTTAAACTTTGACATGGTATATCACTAAGCTGATCTAATTCAGCTTACAAAAGAAATTGTTCGACAAAAAGCGAACGGTAATGAAACTTGCATTATTATACATATTTCCCCAACCCTCACAGGGGCGTCCCTGAAGTTCTCGAAAATCTCCCAGGGTCCGAACGTATATCACATGACGGGTATAGTACTGACTGGATAGGAAACCTGCTAGAACATAGATTTAGTTTTGATATTGGTAATATATTCCTGATGTTTGGACAGTGTATTTTTCTCAGCGCCTTGACTGCACTTTTCACCTCAAAAGGGTCAGACCCAATATCAATGTAGAAACCACGATGTAGTCATCAGTTCTGTCCTATATATATCTAGTCCTATATATTTTCAAGATCAAGTTAATTTTCGTTGTTTTATACTCCTAAAACAAAGCACGAATTGCGGACTACAGTCACAACATTCACCCATATAATTTGGTTTTACATCGTTTCTTACTCTTGTATTCCCTAAACGAGGTCGGGATATCGGGAATCATTTAGTTTCTTTTACATTGTTTTGATTCCATGAATAAAGAATATCAATTTTACAAATGTTAAGACAGGACAGTAAACTAGAATGTATAGTTTTGTCTCTATATACAAGAGTTGTACTTCACTTTTTATCTCTCAGATCTATACTTTTCGCTAGCTCTCTTCCTCTCCCCTCCTCATCTCTCTTTTTCTCTTTCTGTCTCTTCCTCTCTTTCTCACTCTTTCTCACTCTTTCTCACTCTTTCTCTCTCTCTCTCTCTTTTTTTTTCTCTCTCTCTCTCTCTCTAACCTATTGTCAACCATCTTTAATATTTTGACCATATCTCTAAAGTTCATTTCTCACGTATCACTCCTACCCCTTGACGCAAACGAATATTACTGTTTCCTTAACCATTCAAACCAAACCCCTGATTTATTGATTTTTTTCTTCTTCTCCTGATTACTGCATTAGATTGCAATATAAGATCATGTTGTTATTGTTAATAGATTCCCTGGTGATTAGCTACTTCGGATTCGATATATTTCCCGCGGAAATCAACAAGAAGTTTCGTTTGCCGCATTCAAGTATTTTGCCAGCATGTTATCGCTAACCCGGCTATGTTTCCTCGTATTACCTGCTCTTATTAGTGTCATCCTTTTACTTTACTTTCTTAATGTTCTGTTTGAAGGTCTTTTGGGGTTCATGTTTCCATTTCTTTAACCGCATCTGAAAGTATGGCGTGACCTAATATTATGTATGTTGAGGCATATAGAATCCGATTTAATTGATAATCGTAAAGAAACTCGTTTTTCTTGTGGTCTTTCTTTTTGTTTTGACGATTTGTGTGAATTTCTTGCCCTCTTTACCTCGTGAACTCTTGTAAATCCACGGCAATCGCCTATCATGAGACGCGAATCTGAGAATTTGGTCATGCAAGACTTTACCGAAAACATAATTTCAGAAACTTGTGTTAACAATGCCAAAGGGGAGCATTTTACAAGTCCGAAATATAAAATAGTTAAACAGATAAGATTTTGTTTGTCTTTACATATTTGTAAACCATTACTCTCAATCTTCTTTTAGGTAAAATTGTTAGTCTTCTAGAATTGAAAAAAAAGATGTAAACAAAATCGAGGTTTTTCATTTCCCGCCATTTCTGATCGTCTGCCAAGACGCGTAGAGCAATCTTCACCTCTCGTCTGAATCTTTTCCTGAGAGCCATCGTGCCCTTGTTTTCTTGCTGTCCAAACATCCGGCTAGAAAGTTACAAGAGAGGTAATATCTGTCCTCTGTTTCCTCTTCTGTCTCTTGCAAAGACGTGACTGTGGTAGAAGTGTGTGTGGTGACGCAGGAGGGCAGTGTTTATGTCGTCGTCGAACTGTCGTCGAAGTAACGCAAGCAGAGGCAGGCGCCGCGTTTTTACCCATCTCGCATCATGAAATAATAACGTAGAAGACCTGTAACAGATGTCAATGAAAAAAACTGGAGCAATGATCGAATACATATAGAGAAGAAAAATGGTTGCACTAACATTTCCATCCTTGAATAATAATGAAAGTAATAACGATAGTGGGTTCTTGTATAGCGCTCATGTCCGGCATATTTC